TCTGCTTGAACTTTGCTCTACAGAAGGAAGCTGGAAGAGAATTTCATAAAAGTAATATATGAGATCAGTAAAAGTTACAGGTGGGAGGGGCACCCAGTAGCGCGGTGCGGGAGCCAATAGAAATACGAAGAAAACAATGTTGTCAGGGTGCCACGCCGGTCATGTGACACGGAGAATGGTGTTTTTTTTTTTTTATAGGTCTTCTATACGTAGAATCAGAATCAAAGGTTACAGAGGAATTACTGAGAAATCAGATCCTTTTAGGTGTTGATTGTTGTTTCTGACCCCACTGGAGGGATACTTCCTCCCTTCCTCTGCAGGTGACCCCACTGGAGGGATACTTCCTCCCATCCTCTGCAGGTGACCCCACTAGAGGGATACTTCCTCCCATCCTCTGCAGGTGACCCCACTGGAGGGATACTTCCTCCCATCCTCTGCAGGTGACCCCACTGGAGGGATACTTCCTCCCTTCCTCTGCAGGTGACCCCACTGGAGGGATACTTCCTCCCTTCCTCTGCAGGTGACCCCACTGGAGGGATACTTCCTCCCTTCCTCTGCAGGTGACCAGTGGCCAGCAGCGGTTCCAATGAAATAGCACATAGGGGGGGTGATAAGGGGCATCCCTGTCTCGTGCCATTGTATAGAGTAAAAGAGGGGGACAGGGACCCATTAATGCGGATTTTAGCAACAGGATTGGCGTACAGAGCTGAAATCCACTCCATCATCCGGGAGCCCAGACCCAGGTGGGACAGGGTGGCTAGGAGGAAGTCCCACGCCACCCTGTCCAAAGCTTTCTCTGCGTCGGTGGAAAGGAGAAGCGTGGGGTTCTCTGGCGATGTGTATTAAGGAAAGAGATTTAAGAGCGTTATCCCTGGCTTCCCTGCCAGGGATAAAGCCCACCTGATCCGGGTGAATCCAGGACGGGAGGAGCGGGTACAGTCTGTTCGCCAGGATCTTAGCATACAGTTTGGTGTCTACGTTTAGCAACGAGATAGGGCGGTAACTGGCACAGTTCAAGGGGTCTTTTTCTGGTTTGGCTATTACCGTTATGTGGGCCAGGAGTGACTCTGGGCGCATTGGGGGAATTTGTGGAGATTGTATTAACATAAGTGCAGAAGTGAGGGGCCAGGATGTCTTGGAAACGTTTATAATAAAGTAGGCTAAAGCCATCAGGGCCCAGGCTTTTGCCTAGAGGGGTGGAGGAAATTACTGACTTAAATTCCGCCTCGGTGATATCCGTTTCTAGGGCTGAGAGGGACGATTCAGGTACCCTGGGCAGGGAGGCTTGCTGTAGGTAAGTGTTGATCCTGTCCAGTTTGGATGCGGTAGCTACTGGGCCTAGTGAAGTAGACACCTGATATAGGTCCTGGTAATAGTCGCGGAAGACTTTCACAATGGCTGAGGTGGCGTGCGCCATGGATCCCGATTTGGCCCTGATCTTAGAGATGAAAGTGGCGGATTGCTTGGTTCTTAGCGCTCGCGCCATGAGTCTACCCGGCTTACCCCCTAGTTCGTAATATTTGCGTGCGACAGCGTTGAAGGCTCGCGTGGTGTTCTGCTCCAATAGAAGCCGCAGTTCATCGCGTTTGGCCAGGAGTTCCCAGAGGACTCCCTGATCTGGGAGACTTTTGTGGGACGTTTCTAGGCGTTGGATCTCTGAGAGCAGCGCCGTCGTGGCCGCTATCGGCTCCCATTTGCGCTTGGCCCCCACAGCTATCAGCCGGCCGCGCATGACCGCCTTGTGGGCTTCCAATGTGCAAGCCGCAGCAACCCAAAGGCAGGTGTTGGTTGCAAAGTATGAAGCCATTGTCTGTGACAGGTCAGCAGTAATAAGCCGATCGTTCAGCAGGGAGTCATTAAGCTTCCAATTGCACATCCTATCACCCAATGAGTCCAGAGACAAGGAGATCACTGCCGGGGCATGGTCAGAGAGTGTGGCTGGGAGGATGTCCGCAGATTGCAACTTATCCAGAAGGGTGTGATCAATTAGGATCACATCGATCCTGGAATAGGTGGAATGTACCAAGGAGTAGTGAGTGTAGTCTCGGACTCCTGGGTGAAGAAGGCGCCGTGCGTCTACTAGCTGGGTTCTGTGCAGGGCCTTTCGCAGGGAGGTGAGATGAGCAGATGGGTTCCTAGGTGCCATGGATGATGAATCTAAGGAGGGCTCTAGGCACAGGTTCAGGTCCCCCGCCAGGATAAGTCTACCTTTTCGGAAGTCCCCAATTTTGCCCAGGACTCTCTTCAAAAAAGTCACTTGATGGATATTAGGGAAGTATACATTAGCCAATGTAAATTCAATACCTTGAATGGCGACTTGGAGGAGGAGAAACCTACCCTCTGGGTCGTTCATTCTATCACGAAGCTGTACACAGAGTCCCCTGCGGAACCCAATGGTGACTCCCTTGGCACGTTTAGTGGGTGAGGCGCTGTAGTACCAGAGCGGGTATTGCTGAGCTTTAATCAGCGTCGGGGAGATGTAGGAGAGATGTGTCTCCTGGAAGAAAACCACATCCGCCTCACATCTGTTGACTTCAGACAGTATCTGAAAACGTTTACGTGGGGAGTTCAGGCCTCTCACGTTATATGAGATTAGTTTCAAAGCCGCCATTTGTGTGTGCCGCAGGGGAGCTCCCCCGAGAATATCGAGGAACTGAGCAAGGTCAAGACCCGGGGACCACAGACAAGGGATACATAGACAAAGGGAGGGGTGAAACATAAGGACAATTGGCGGTAGAGGTGCCTCCGGCAGATGGTAAAGGAGGGCACCCATTTAGGACCCATAGCAGGGAGCGAAAAAGGGACCGATTCTCTCAAAACAGGGGCAGGGGCAAATAACGCGGCAGCTCAGCAGCTCAACCCCCAGAGATGGGGTGGGGGGGAGACGACATGGGTCTGGATCCACGTTGCGTCTTCAGTTCCGCTCGTTGCCAGTGAGGCGAAGGGGTGAAGCGCCAGGCCGGCGGTTGTTCGACCCACTCAGGAAGCTCCGGCACGGTAATCTCCAGCTCGGAACAGAAATCCCCCAGCTCCTCCGGGAATCGCAGGACTGTTGATCTACCCCCACGAGTGGCAATGAGGCAGGCGGGGAATCCCCAGTGATATGGAATGTGGGAGTCCTTCAGTTGTTGCAACAGGGTCCTTCAGTTGTTGCTCAGTCTCCTTCTGCGGGCGAGGGTCTCCGGTGCGAGGTCTGGGAAGATCTGTATCTTTGCCCCATCAAAGTCCACTTCTGAGGAGGGTTTGAGGTGGGTGAGGAGCAGGGCCTTGTCGGTATAGTAATGGAGGCGCACGGGGGCAGCTCTCCCGCTAGTATGACGTCACGGGGCAGCTCTCCCGCTAGTGCTCTGGGCCGCAGGGCCCTGTGAGCCCGATCAAACAGCATAGTGGAGGTAGGGGAGCGTCCCAGGATGGTATTGAAGATGCCCCTAACGGTGTCCGCGAGGTCCGCGTCTCCCGTTGCTTCAGGAAGGCCGCGGAGGCGCAGGTTGTTCCTGCGGTTCCTATTCTCCTGATCCTCAATCTTATACAGGGCTTGACGGGTCTGCATCCAAGTTTGCTTACCCTGATTCTGCAGTTCGCTGATGGCTTTTGCGTGGTCGTCTAGACCAGTGGTTCTCAACCCGTGTAACCTCGGGACCCACATTTGTCCTCGGTCATTAAGTTGCGACCCAAGTTGCACTGCAATGGAACGCACAACATTAGGGTACTGCATGTTTTGGTGCGGGCATACGAACTGTGGGTGGGAGATGCGTTTGGGGTACCATACAAATGAATAGTCACTCTATAGAACACGTGAGTAAGCAATGCACATATGGATGGAGCTCCCTCGCGGCCATAGCCCCATCCCATCCCACCTCAAGCTGAAACTCTGCGCCGGGCAGCATATTTTGGATGGCCGCTTGGCACGAGAACTGACAGTGCTGCGCTAGAGGTTGGCTGAGGAGCCTCTCGTCTAGAAAAGTGGAAGGCATGCGGCGACCCACTGAACACGGGGTCGCGACCCACTTTTGGGTCACGACCCACCAGTTGAGAACCAAGGGTCTAGACGATCCTCCACCGCCTCCACGCGGTGTAGTGTGTGCGATAGCTCTGATCGAAGCGCCGTCAGATCCGTTTTAATGGAGGTCTCCAAGCACAAGAACATGGCTGACAGTTCCCTCTTGGTCGGCAGGGAGTGTGCTAGGGTGCGCACTGACATGTCGGATCCCTCATCCGATTCGTCCGCTTCCGACAGTGCCGCTGTGTCGTCCTGAGGAGGCGGTCGGCGGCGTGCAGAATCCAATGTAGGCCGCGTCTGGAGACAGGGTTGGAAGCACGTGCAAGGCCGCACTGCCGTCCGGCGGGGAGTTCGTCGCCCACATGCGTTTGAGCGAGCCCGCACTGGGTCTCTTGTTGGAGCCCGACTTCTGGGTTCTTTTCCCCATGGTAGATGTAGGGAGAGGCGAAGTGTCCACAATACTCTAGCAACTCGGGGATGGATCGGGAGCCTCAGCTACACACGTCCACCCGCCGCCATAGGTAGACCACGCCCCCCGGACTGGAGTTCTAATTGTTGACTGGGATCACACGCACTGTAACTTGTGAAGGTTTTGGTTTCCTAAATATATGATTGCAGATCCTTCGGATATATGAACGGCAGGGTTCTGGAATTGGGGGGACGTTTGCAGGCCGGATAATCCAGCTTGGGGGACTTTTTTTATTTGCATTGAAATGGCTGGCTCGTGTCACCTCAATATAAAGAAACATTTCTCAGGTTGTGTCACTGCTGAGGCTGAACCGCCATTTATTGACATGAAAGTATACAGAAGGGAAAACAAGATTTTTCTGCACTTACTTTTATTGATATTCATGTGTTACATCAAACAGTGACTACACAGCCCCCCCACATCAAACAGTGACTACACAGCCCCCCCACATCAAACAGTGACTACACAGCCCCCCTCCTTGTCTCTCTCTCGATTGATTCTCCGCTGAGAAGGTTTGTTTCCCTCCATCCACTAGTAGCGCACCGGGTTCACATTGTTCACATTCATAATGTTGGTTGGCTGAGGTTGGTACGAAGGGACGGGGTACATGACGGTCTGCCCTGGCATGGTCACGGTGGTGGTGTGAGCTGTCACCATGGAAGTCGGGTGCTTGTATTTCTTTATCTCTCGAGCCATCTGGCACCAGGCGCAGGTGAAACACCAGTACAATATACAGCAATCAGCGCTGATCGAAAAAAAAACGAACCCGGGGGGGGGGGGGGACAGAAGAAAAGATGATGATGATGATGATGATAGGGGGAGGGAAGAAGAGAAGGAGATAGAGAAGAGAGAGGAGAGAGAGTGAGGGACAGAGAGATGATGATGATGATAGGGGAGGGAAGAAGAGAAGAAAAGGAGGGAGAAAGAGATAGAGAGGGGGAATAGAGAAACAAAAGGGGGGAAAGGATAGAAGGAGATAGAGAGGAAAGAAGGATAGGACAGGGGAAGGAGATAGAGAAGGGAGATAGACAGAGGTACAAGAAGGGACAACAGAGGAGGGAGAGTACAAGAGGAGAGGGATGAAAGAGGATGGGAAGAGAGGGAAGGGATGGAAGAGGATGGGAAGAGAGGAGAGGGATGGAAGAGGATGGGAAGAGAGGAGAGGGATGGAAGAGGATGGGAAGAGAGTAGAGGGATGGAAGAGGATGGGAAGAGAGTAGAGGGATGGAAGAGGATGGGAAGAGAGTAGAGGGATGGAAGAGGATGGGAAGAGAGGAGAGGGATGGAAGAGGATGGGAAGAGAGTAGAGGGATGGAAGAGGATGGGAAGAGAGTAGAGGGATGGAAGAGGATGGGAAGAGAGAAAGGGGGATGGAAGAGGATGGGAAGAGGAAAGGGGGATGGGAGAGCATGGGAAGGGAGAAGACGGATTGAAGAGGATGGGAAGAGAGGAGAGTGATGGAAGAGGATGGGGAGAGAGGAGAGTGATGGAAGAGGATGGGAAGAGAGAAAGGGGGATGGAAGAGGATGGGAAGAGGAAAGGGGGATGGAAGAGGATGGGAAGAGGAAAGGGGGGTGGAACAGGATGGGAAGGGAGAAGAGGAATGGAAGAGGATGGGAAGAGAGGAGAGGGATGGTAGAGGATGGGAAGAGAGAAAGGGGGATGGAAGAGGATGGGAAGAGAGGAGAGGGATGGAAGAGGATGGGAAGAGAGGAGAGAGATGGTAGAGGGTGGGAAGAGAGGAGAGAGATGGTAGAGGGTGGGAAGAGAGTAGAGGGATGGAAGAGGATGGGAAGAGAGGAGAGGGATGGTAGAGGGTGGGAAGAGAGGAGAGAGATGGTAGAGGGTGGGAAGAGAGGAGAGGGATGGTAGAGGATGGGAAGAGAGGAGAGAGATGGTAGAGGGTGGGAAGAGAGTAGAGGGATGGAAGAGGATGGGAAGAGAGTAGAGGGATGGAAGAGGATGGGAAGAGAGGAGAGGGATGGTAGAGGATGGGAAGAGAGAAAGGGGGATGGAAGAGGATGGGAAGAGAGGAGAGGGAAGGTAGAGGAGGGGAAGAGAGAAAGGGGGGATGGAAGAGGATGGGAACAGAGGAGAGGGATGGAAGAGGAATGGGAAGAGAGGAGAGAGATGGTAGAGGGTGGGAAGAGAGTAGAGGGATGGAAGAGGATGGGAAGAGAGGAGACAGATGGAAGAGGATGGGAAGAGAGGGGAGGGATGGAAGAGGATGGGAAGAGAGGAGACAGATGGAAGAGGATGGGAAGAGAGGGGAGGGATGGAAGAGGATGGGAAGAGAGGAGACAGATGGAAGAGGATGGGAAGAGAGGGGAGGGATGGAAGAGGATGGGAAGAGAGGAGACAGATGGAAGAGGATGGGAAGAGAGGGGAGGGATGGAAGAGGATGGGAAGAGAGGAGACAGATGGAAGAGGATGGGAAGAGAGGGGAGGGATGGAAGAGGATGGGAAGAGAGGAGACAGATGGAAGAGGATGGGAAGAGAGGGGAGGGATGGAAGAGGATGGGAAGAGAGGAGACAGATGGAAGAGGATGGGAAGAGAGGGGAGGGATGGAAGAGGATGGGAAGAGAGGAGACAGATGGAAGAGGATGGGAAGAGAGGGGAGGGATGGAAGAGGATGGGAAGAGAGGAGACAGATGGAAGAGGATGGGAAGAGAGGGGAGGGATGGAAGAGGATGGGAAGAGAGGAGACAGATGGAAGAGGATGGGAAGAGAGGGGAGGGATGGAAGAGGATGGGAAGAGAGGAGACAGATGGAAGAGGATGGGAAGAGAGGGGAGGGATGGAAGAGGATGGGAAGAGAGGAGACAGATGGAAGAGGATGGGAAGAGAGGGGAGGGATGGAAGAGGATGGGAAGAGAGGAGACAGATGGAAGAGGATGGGAAGAGAGGGGAGGGATGGAAGAGGATGGGAAGAGAGGAGACAGATGGAAGAGGATGGGAAGAGAGGGGAGGGATGGAAGAGGATGGGAAGAGAGGAGACAGATGGAAGAGGATGGGAAGAGAGGGGAGGGATGGAAGAGGATGGGAAGAGAGGAGACAGATGGAAGAGGATGGGAAGAGAGGGGAGGGATGGAAGAGGATGGGAAGAGAGGAGACAGATGGAAGAGGATGGGAAGAGAGGGGAGGGATGGAAGAGGATGGGAAGAGAGGAGACAGATGGAAGAGGATGGGAAGAGAGGGGAGGGATGGAAGAGGATGGGAAGAGAGGAGACAGATGGAAGAGGATGGGAAGAGAGGGGAGGGATGGAAGAGGATGGGAAGAGAGGAGACGGATGGAAGAGGATGGGAACAGAGGAGACGGATGGAAGAGGATGGGAAGAGAGGAGACAGATGGAAGAGGAATTATTTTTGTCATTTTACGTCATATTGGCTGTCACTCCTGTGCAGAGACGAGCACTCAGAGACAGAGGTGCAGCACATCTCACACATGTATTCATTGAATATGGCTGCCCCATGTATTTACATTCCATTACAGGCTACACATAGAGTGAGAACAAATGGTTCTCGGAACCAATACTGCAATACATGCGGACTGAGGGTCCATGGTTCTAGCTGAGGCTCTTGGTGGGCTGTGCGCCATCGCCCTCAACACGTCACCATTTATCTTCAAGCTTTTTCCTGTCATGTGATAAGAGGTTTGTAGACACATTGTATCTGGTATGTGTTCCAAATGCTCAGAAAACAGTGACAGTGACACTGCCTCTGGCTGAAGCTTTGTCTCCAGGTACTGAAAGCAGCTCAGACACATAATACAGTTATCACCTAATCCTGATGGTCAGATCAGAGGATGTGGCTATGTCTCATAGGCGTGCGCACGGGGTGTGCTGGGTGTTTCTGGGCGCACACTAATCACCCCGAGCATAGGGATGCCACCTCTCTGGGATTCACCCAAACTGTCCGGGTTTTGAGTCCTGTATGTGCTCTTTTTCGGTTTCAGGCCGGCTGAAGCACGGACACAAGATGTCACAATGTCAGGTGGACAGAGGCAACCTGGTCGTGGTGTTCCATCTTGAGAGCATGGAGGAGGCACGGGACACAGAGAGACACTGGGACTCGGGGGGGAAGTAAGTGTCTGAAAAACAGTGTGCAGATAACTCTTGAAGGGCACACTCTCCAGACTATCACTCCTCACTCATCCTCCTGGCTGTCCCTCCTTAGTGTCTCTCCTCAATCTCTCTCCTAGCTGTCTCTCCTCGCTCTCTCCTGGCTGTCTCTCCTCACTCTCTCCTGACTGTCTCTCCTCGCTCTCTCCTGACTGTCTCTCCTCACTCTCTCCTGGCTGTTTCTTCTCATTTTCTCTCCTGGCTGTCTCTTCTCATTTTCTCTCCTGGCTGTCTCTTCTCATTCTCTCTCCTGGCTGTCTCTCCTCACTCTCTCCTGACTGTCTCTCCTCACTCTCTCCTGGCTGTTTCTTCTCATTCTCTCTCCTGGCTGTCTCTTCTCATTAGACCTAGGGCTGCTGGAGGAGCCTGATGGCTAGCCTCCTTCCTACAGACCACGGACCTAGGGCTGCAGAGACTTATTACCCCGGAGAACTTTGTTTGCTGCGTGTTTCCAGTTTAATATTTCATCTAGAGAGAGAACTTGTCACTATTTGATGTGAACCATTCTTCTATAGGTAGCAGGCTGTCTGGGGGAGGGGCCATTGTTTGCAAATCACTTTCCCTCCTGGCTGTCTCTCCTCACTCTCTCCTGACTGTCTCCCCTCCCTCACTCTCTCCTGGCTGTTTCTTCTCACTCTCTCTCCTGGCTATCTCTTCTCATTCTCTCTCCTGGCTGTCTCTCCTCACTCTCTCCAGGCTGTCTCTCCTCTTTCCTCTCAATTTCCCTCCTGGCTGTCTCTCCTCTCTCTCCTGGCTATCTCTCCTCACTCTCTCCTGGCTATCTCTCCTCACTCTCTCCTGGCTATCTCTCCTTACTCTCTCCTGGCTATCTCTCCTCACTCTCTCCTGGCTATCTCTCCTCACTCTCTCCTGGCTGTCTCTCCTCACTCTCTCCTGGCTATCTCTCCTCACTCTCCCCTGGCTATCTCTCCTCACTCTCTCCTGGCTATCGCTCCTCACTCTCTCCTGGCTGTCTCTCCTCACTCTCTCCTGGCTGTCTCTCCTCCCTCTCTCCTGGCTGTCTCTCCTCACTCTCTCCTGGCTGTCTCTCCTC